ACCAAAATTATATATATAAATACTGAACGGTGTGTCCCCAAATAATTTTTATACAGTTACCAAGAGATAGCTAAAATAAGGCATAATCAGGAGTGGAGATCTGACTGTAAATATCATGGAAATTTTACTTCGTTTGCATCATTAGTAAAGAAAGAAAAAGTTGAGACAGTTCATGGATTCTTTTCAAATTGATCAAATGCATGTGCCTAAAGGAGAAGGTCAAAAACTGAAACAGCTGGGACGGCAAGAAAAAAAAATGCTCAACATAGAATGATCCGAAATGTTTGATAAATATATCCCGAGTACAAGTGCATGCAATATTTAAATATATCTAGTATTCTTACTTGATAACATCCGACTGAATAACCTCATAACAATGAGCATATGCCAACTCAAAAGGCAACTGGAGGCATATAATGCTCAAGATGACAATTGCATCATTTCTGACTCGCCTAAGTCGACCAAACCATTCAATTTTTTGAAACGCTTCCTTCTCTTTTCTTTTATCCATTTCCTGATCTTTTATGAGCTCTACAGGTACTTGTAGGGAGGTACAATCCACGCCTGAAAGTCTATAACCTGGATCACCTCCAAACGTATAATTGATCTGCCATCTTTACAGCAAGTGTAGAGAGAAATGAATGAGCGATATGCCAAATGATAGATAAAAAAGGAAGTGACCATAACAACATATGCAGATTCACACTCTGTTGACGTATTAATGCTTTTAGCCCAAGGTACCTGGCGATAAGGGCAGAGTTTTTCCGTTTCCAGAACTGGGAAAACATGATAGCCCATAAGATAATGCTTATAAAGAAAATAGGGAGGACCAGTAATCGCAAGGACCTGTAAGCAAGATGAGCAACATGCAGTTTATTTTTACGTAAATTTGGAATGCTTGCACGATTTAAAAAGAACTGATGGCCTTGCAGCTAATGGATAGAGTGGCTCACCCAAATTCAACTAACTGCAGTATAAGCCCAAGTGCAGCTGGAAATAGCATCCATTGTGTATACATTCCAAGGAACGCAAAGTAGAGTGCAATCTTCAAACAGTTATTTCTCTTACATGTCAGTCAAAATGCACATCAGAATGATTAGCTGCTACGAAATAAAATTATAGTTGAAGTACCTTTGCACCAAAATATGAATACACCTCATCAATAGGCTGGCCGGTCAAGTCCCACCAGTTAAGTGCCCAATTTCCAAGGAGCTTCTTCCTCCTTATTTCATCTATAAAATAGCAATCTTATTTCCTCGGAATATACGACACAGCTGCAAAATTTTAGGGAAGTCAGGAAAACTATACCGTGCAGAGGAAATATTTGTTTAACAATTTTCTTGGATTCCAATGTACGGACCAAACTCTCCCCAACCTTCCACTGAAATTCTTCTTCATCACATTTAAGAGTTACAGCTGACTGATTCTCATTTACCTGTAAAATGAAATACCTTATATCTGGCAATGTAGAGGTACAGCATACGCTATGAACTGACGAACGTCAATGGGAAGGATATAGTCATAATCAGATGCCTAATCGTGGGTTAAAATTAAAAATTAAAAATTAAAAATAATTACTGGCTTGCCTTTGTATTCGCATTTTTGAGCGACGTTCATTAAAATAAAATTTTAATGCTTGGCACCATTATTTGCACATGAAAGCAAAAGGTAGACAGATGAAATTATTAAAGCACCAAAGCAACTTTTTCCATACAAGAAATTACTCAAAATTTCAAAACTTACGAAAATGGATTGCTATAAGAAAAACATTGAGACAATAGTGTAGCTAATAGGATATGCGGATGGGGAAAACCTTGAGCCATGAGAGAAGTTACTTACAATCCCATATATCAAGTGATCATAGCAACAAAATCGCTCACTCCAACTGAAGAGTGAACCATCGGGCTGTCTTACAAAAGCATCAACCTCGTCCAGTTCAAAAAGCAAATCCATACCTTGTATCAAGATAGCACCGAAACCAATGCAGAAAAACAAAAGCACAACATTTTTAAAACATGTTATAGAGAAGGCCAACTGAGAAAGGAAGACAAAAGTTGAACAGGAGGTTTGCTAAAGATACTCGAGCTTACCAATATGAGTCCTCTTTTTCATTTCTAGGCGTGCAGCAGCCTTTCCTAATACCTCCAGAGGAGCAGCCAACTAGATTTAGAAGCAGGAGCTCGTCAAATCACAATAAATGAATTAGCAGATAAGAAATGTGAAAAGCTTCACATAGACTAACTACTCATCCATCAAAAAGCTTAAGAATTAACAAACATATGTTCATGAGTTAAACGAGACCAAAATAATATATAACTTTTGTCTAGCAAGCGGAAGGCGAGTTAAGTGCAAGCCACCTACATTGGCATCTAATCTCGGCTGCACAAGGCAAAAACTCGCTAGGCTATTAGTTCATACGGACATTTCTGCTTAAACGTTTTAGACATAAGAACAGCATCTCTAGTGCACGTAAATGTTAAGCAAACACGTGCCTATAACAATTTTACATCAAAATTGACGAAGACATCATGCTTATAAATCACGCTACTATCTAATAAGTAATGACCATTGTTTAAATTGACATCAACAGAAATGGTATCTACTGAAATAAACTCTTGTGGAATATAAAACAAGTAGCAGGGGCAAACCTTCATGAACTCGTCAGTGACCCCATCAATTCTCTCAACGATAAAACCCACCTTCCGAAACGAATTTTCAAGCACCTCCACACAGTCACAAGTGGCATCTTCTTTCTTCGTTTTCCTTTTCGGAACTACCAAGCATACCTCAAATACAGTTTGTTCTTCCGGATGGACTTTCATTTCAGCGCTCACTCACACTCTACAGTACACCCAGGAGCACCAAAAGATTAAGAATACAACACCGTATGGAAACAGAACATTCGAATACTTAACTGGGGAAAGTTAGGATCGGTCAAGAAGACAAAAACTCGGTTCCAAGAGCCCCAGTAGTCAAATGGGTCTCAATACCTTTTGGGACTAGACGGATATGGGAAAATAAGCTTAAATTTATCAAACACCCAACAAAACGCTCACAAACGGGAACATGCATTAGCTCAGATGGCTCAAATTAAGCTTTACGGGAACTAATTCAACAAAATCTTTCAACAAAACTGGTAGAACGGATGCATAAAGAAGAAACAAAACAAATCTCGACGGAGTGAAGACAACCCAGGTGTCTAAGCACATAGCATTGCAATTGGATGACACATGGGCGATAATAGAAGGAGATAGACACGTACTAAAACTTGGTGAACAAAAAGAGAACACACTTTTGGGGACTCGAAAGCCAATTGAGATCATCCTTCATCCCATAGCCCATAAAACCCCTTTTTACGCATTTGGGCGGCGAAATTCACAGTGAAAGAGCATACCAGAATAGCATAAACGAATCGTTTATTGCAAACGTGTCTCAGTGTGTTTTGCAGTCTGGAATTCAGCTACCTCGAAATAGAGACGGAAATCCGCAACCGACGAAGAATCAAGAGCTTTGAGTTTAAGAAATTCAAGCAGATTGTTCTCCGTCTGCTACTCCACATTTCTATTTCGGCTCCTAACGTTCGAATCATGAACAGTTCTTTCCATTATTAGATTGCAACTTTCCCAATCTCCAAATCCTTCTTCTTCAACTCCGTTTCTTCGTTTTTCCCCCCCTCGATGGAAGTTATGCTTCTAACATGTGACAAACGAGAGAGTATTTTTTTTCCGCCAATACAGTTCGAGTTAAGGGTCCATTCTTTTATCTCCACTGAATTAATACAAATACTTTTAAATTTAATTTTAAAAAAAAAAAAATTAATAACAGCTTTAAAAAAATTAAATGATTTGAAAAATATACCTTTAAATTTATTTAGAAACTTAAAATATATATATATTGACTTTTTAAAAAAAATTAAAAAATACATTTACATACCACATCTCAAAAATATTCTATTTTTGAGATAATTTATAAAATATTGATAGACGATTTTTTAGAATTTTTATATTGATAGTAATATTTTTTTTAATAGATGATTGCTACTTTTAAAATTTTTGAATAAATATATTTTTGAATCAAATATTAATAAAACTTTTATAAGTTAAAAAAATATTAAAATATTTTATATATTTTTTAATTTTTTTTAGTTTAAGGAAAAAAAAAAGATAAATTATATATTTTTTATTATTATTATTAATTTACCCTTCTATTTTATTTACCGTAAATATCTTAATTTAGTATTCATATTTATGTGTATATTTTAATTAAATTAGATGTGAGTTGAAATGACAAAAGTTAAGATAGCAGTGATGTTTGAAAAAAAGTAGACTCGATGATATCGAAAATTAAGAAATGACATTCATGAAGCGACTTCGCAATCGCCCCTGAACACCGGAGCACGTGAACTGGTGGCTCAATCTCATTAGTTTTCTAAAGAAGAATGTCATCACCCATGGTGCTACTGAGCGCAGCCACATATTCTAATCTTTCAAACTACAAGCCCGGTCAATTCCTTTGAGTTTCAATCTTGCTACCGTACTTTCCAAATGAGGATAAAAAACTTTTCATTTACATATTGTTCATTGAACAGTGATCAATCTTTTTTCTCTGTTTATCGATTTTGTGCAAGTCCTCTTTTTCAAAGTGTCTATAGATAACGCATCGTATTTATAATAATTGCTTGCCACCTATGCTCTATCGCTGATTCCAACTACCATCCATGTACGATCCACACTGGGCCTAACATTTGGTCAAACATAATTGTCCCTAAATATTATTATTATTTTATTATTAAAATATTTAAACAAAGTGACAATAAAACTTATCATTTAAATATTTTAAAATTAATTGAGAAAAATAGTTCAAGACAAACCTGAAAAACTAGTACTATTTACTTTTTTTTTTTTATTATTGTTGTAATTTTATATAATTTAAATTAATTATTTTATTTAAATAAAGTTCAAAATCATAATAAAAAATTAAATTAATTCACGAGTTTAAATGGTTAGGGTTTTTAAAGGTGGCATCCAAAAATTCCTTCGCCACTAGTCAAGCGACTCTTCAACAGAAAGTTCATCGTTTCTCAGAAGATTTATTTTCCCCAAATCCAGTTTTTCTCGAGCCCTAGCATCTTTCATCAGGCTCCCCATCAAATCCCACCGCATTTGGAGGATCTCCGATCATGGGAAACACCGAGAAATTGTTGAATCAGATCATGGAATTGAAATTTACTTCGAAGTCGCTGCAACGCCAAGCCAGGAAGTGCGAGAAGGAAGAGAAAGCTGAGAAGCTCAAGATCAAGAAGGCTATGGAGAAAGGAAATGTTGATGGAGCCCGAATTTACGCGGAGAACGCGATCCGTAAACGAACAGAACAGATGAACTATCTCCGCCTGTCCTCGAGGCTTGATGCTGTTGTGGCTCGGCTCGACACACAGGCCAAGATGTCCACGATTAACAAGTCCATGGCGTCGATCGTAAAATCCTTGGAATCTTCTTTGGCGACTGGAAATTTGCAGAAGATGTCCGAAAATATGGACCAATTTGAGAAGCAGTTTGTGAATATGGAGGTTCAGGCCGAGTTTATGGAAAATGCAATGGCCGGATCTACGTCGCTCTCGACTCCGGAAGGAGAAGTCAACAGCTTGATGCAGCAGGTCGCGGATGATTACGGTCTGGAAGTCTCCGTCGGGCTACCGCAACCGGCTTCACATTCAGTGCCAACGAAGGAGACCGAGAAAGTTGACGAGGACGACTTAACGAGGCGCCTTGCAGAGCTCAAGGCCAGAGGTTAATAGAAAGACATGACATCTTATTGCTGTGTGATGTATGTGAAATTTACGCATTTAGAAATTATGAGTTACTGGGCTTGCTATGAATAATCGATCTATGTTACTATTATGTCTATATTCCAGTAAACACACTTTCAGTGGTGATTTCTTGTCTGTGCATTTTCTTTATGTTCTCCGAGTATTTGATCATGGGGTTAGATTGAATTTTCCTTGAAGACTTGCAGTGATGGTGGGTGCATATATTCCCCATCTGTAACTGTGGGATTCCATGATTGTATCTATTTTTCCACCAGCATCCAAGAAATTGTTCCTCGGAGCTCGAGGGAATCGGCTGGTCTGCAGGCATTGTAAGTGAATGTCATATGACACAACTTAAATTGCTTTGATGTTTGTTTGCTTCTGCCTGTTGAGTGAAACCTTAAAATGTTGCCCCGTAGTCAATATTGTTTCCACATTATACTAGAAATAAACGAATTTGAAGATATATGACTTGTGAGTTCATTTGTTATGTATATATTGAGATTCTCTGCCTTGATTTTGTAGTTGTAAATTAGCAATTATCTTTTTTACATATGCTTAACTACTTGTAAATAGTTAGCTGCAAGTTGGTGCTATATTCAATTTCTATTTTGCTTAGTTATATGTCTTCTCAACCTTCTACAAGTACACAGCCCTTGTGCATATATTTGAAGTGAATAGATTCATCTCTTAACTTCATCTGGTCAAATGTGGTATCAGAGTGATTTCGATCTTCGTCTGATTGCTGAAGGTTATATTGATTGTGATGTTCATGGCGTCACCCACCAGAGATTCTAGTGTGAACGTAGAGTGAATACTTACGAGTCCTAGACATTTTCCCCATTCACGCATCATATGCTTTTTTTTCTGTTGAATATTTCTGCCATAGAAGTTTCTTCCAATTTGTATCACATTCTACCACTCTAGCAAACCCAGGGTTGGTGCTTGTTTTCTGAATTGGTTCTTGTTCAAGTTAGAGATGTGTTGGTCTTGATAAACCCAATACCTTCCATCAACAAAGCTTTTTGCTCTTTTATCTCCAGAGCACTAGACAAAACTGAATACAGTGTCAATGGAAGGGATTAAGGGACAAATGCTGTTCAGAGGAAGGTAAGGTAGAGTGGCTTCCTTTTCCTGTGTCTACATTCTTCTTAATAAGAAAACAACTTTTCAATGAGAATAAGAACAAAAGATTACACGGGCATCTAGAAAAATCAAGCCCACAAAAGGGAATACCAGTAAAGAAAACACCTCCAGTTGTGTAGAATAATGCCTTCCGAGCAATTACAAAAAGACATTCGTCAATGAAGTCCGAAAGGAAAAATAAAATCTAGCAAGGGAGACGATATCACTTAGATCCCTTTCCAAGCCTAGAAACTACCGTTTTCCTGTGGTTTCATTTGATACATGGTTGCTTAATGCTTGTAACCTCCATGAATGTCTGTTGTTGGATACAAACAGAAGCAGAAGGTTGTCTATGATTTTCTTAAGCTAATACCTACATCATTATTGAACCATTACATGCTTCATCCTATGGTGATTGTGGTCAAAAGTTGACGCAGAAGTAGAGTGAACATCTTCTGCTGCTGCTGTGCGCTTTTGGATATCTTTTTTAATTTGCTATAATCTGATAAGACTTTTGCTTGAACTGCAAATTATTCAACATATGATAGTCATTAAAGTGGTTATATCGTAGCAGCTATCATTTTTCATATCCTGTTTTTATTTGTCTTGTAACTCTGTGTTATAGATTGTCTACTTGAGTTCAGGACTCCATGCCTAATATAATTTGCCTGTTTTCGAATCACTAACTAGGTCGTGGTTCATCAACCGGGCTCGTTTGCGTTGGCAAGCATTCTATGCTCGGCCTAGCACTGACATCTACATATAGTGAGAATCCATATAAAATTGTTCTTGAATAGGAAGAACTTGAAAACATATTTGTTCTTCCACATTGAAAACAGATCGTTGCAACTGGATATGCCAGCCACAAGGCAAGCAGAGAGTTCCCAACAAGTTGAAACGGGAATGCTAATAGAAACCAAGTATATCAAGGTAGAAAGTTTAGCGTTTAAACCCTAAATTTAAAATTTTCAAATTCTAATGAATTCATTTTTCAAATTTATCTTTCAAAATTTTGTGTAATAGATTGATTAATTTTTAAAAATTTTGTATACAAATTTTAAGAACTAAATTTGTAATTTAACCTAACTTTTATTTTTTATATATATTTTTCTTTTAATATATGCTTCGATTATCAAATAAATAAAGTGACTATTATCATTGACAAATATATTCATAGAAAACTAATCCTAATTAGTTTTTAGTCATTGCGGAGTTATTGAATTTTAAATATGTTACTCATTATTTATTGTAGTTCTTGTATTTAAGTTTACATCAAAGATTAAATCATTTACTTATTTTTTTAACGTAGTTTAAAGATACTAATAATCATTTTAAAAGCCAATTATTAATATACCGACGCAATAAATTCTAAATTCTAAACCTAATTAGTTGGGAATAAAAAAAAAATGCGAGCTTTGCAGAAGATATCTATATTTAAAAAAAAAAAAAAATGCAATATTAAAGTTTTAAAACTTAGGATTGGATTATTAGAGATTCTTCAAATTTTAATTTCCATTTAAACTTATAAAGGCTTTTTTTTAAAACCACAAAATTTAGCCATAAATCACCGTATTTAAATGTATAATTACAATTATATTACAAATGCATATGAGCTTCTAGGCTTTAGCGAGAAAAGGAAAGGATATACCTATACGTACGCTAAAACCTGCTCCATTGGCAGCTCTGTAGCTCACTGACGGCACCGTAAAGCTCGACGCCAACTCCGGCTGCCGGAATGGCTTCCATTTCTAGTCACGGATTCAGACACCTCTCCACCACAAGGTGCTCGTTTCAGTTCCACTTTCACAAGCTCCGAACCTCAACTTCACTTGCTGCCTCACCTTCATCCACTATTTCACACGATGATTCTGAACGAGCCGAGCTGCACGAACCTCCGACTTCCAATGGATTCAGCAAACAATCCCAGCCGTATTTTCCCAAACGCGGCCAAACCTTGGAATTGGTTTGCGAATCGTTGGCATTTAAGGGAAAGGGTCTCTGTAAGGCTGCTGATACTGGATTTGTTGTCATGTGTGACCGAGTTCTTCCCGGTGAGCGATTTGTTGGGCGAGTTACTCGAAGAAAAGGGAACTACGCCGAGGTCAGTTTCGTTTCTTTCTTCTGGGTAGAAGGAGGTGGAGGATTAATTTGAGTGATGAATTCTTGTTTCTCTGCTTGAATTTATATTGTGATAGCGAGATTAAGAAAATTGACTCCCGGAAGATGAATATGTAGACTGAAGATGCATTTTCGCAGGGTTAAGTACTAAACAATTTTGGTGCACAATTGATTAAATGTTAGATTAGCACCTGTTCTTAAACTTCATTCACGTCCAAAAGACGAATTCCATGCTGGTGCCATAGTCATCTTGATCCTAGATGGATGTCTCGTGCAATCTCTGAATTGCCAATAGTGTAGTTCTTTGGTTCACCAGGACCTGTTCAAGTATATAGTTCCCTGTTTAAATTCCCCAATTCTATTGGGAAAAGAGTGAAATCGTACTTCATGTAGCAAGATCGGTAATCCGACTAATAATAGAAGCGATATGAGAATAAAAGGGGAGAGAACATCAAACGAGGGTCATCTCATTTATCTTTTGTAAACTCTGTAGTTCCATCATGAAGATGACACAAGTTAGAGGAGTATAATGCAGTAGCTTTGAGATGTCTTTATTAGTATTATTTTATCATTTGTTGCTGTATCTGCAGGCGACTAAGCTAGAGACATTGTCTCCTCATTGGGACTTGGTTGATGCCCCTTGTGAGTATGCTTCTTACTGTGGAGGATGTAAAACGCAAAATCTATCATATGAAGCTCAAGTTAGATCTAAGGAACAGCAAGTTCACGAGTTGTTGACTCATGTAGGAAAATTTTCTATGAAAGAACTTGAATCTCATAGTGTCCTGAAGGCTATTGTACCTTGCGAAATCCAGTTTCACTACAGGAACAAGGTTAGTGAGCAAGTTGTGGTTCATTTGGTTGCTTTCCTTCATTGTGATTGTATCTGAGGGATTTTATTTTATTTCTTAAATGTAGGAAACAATATAACTTCATTGATAAAATGAAATTACAAACTATCCAATGGATTACAAAAAAATCCCCAATTGGTCGTGAGTGAAGATAAACTATAGTTACAAAAGGGGGAGCTCATTTGACACCAACTAAATGATAAAAAGAAAATAGATGTAACAAAAGATTGGGTATCTTGTTCCTTATCTGAGAACATGCAGGAGTTACTCTCCAGCTAGCTAAGAAACACATACACTTTAGTTTGGCTAATGTCCATGTTTGACACACGTCGGATACTCAGACACTCCAACACTTATTGGACACGTATCAAATAATTGTTAGTGCAATGGTTGTGTTATACGCTAGTTGTGCAAAGTAAAAATAGGTAACATTTATTAAACATGCATCAAACACTTGTTAAGTATGCTAAATAGACACATATATATAACAAAAAGTATAAAATTTGAGAGAAAAATGTATCAAACTATTTTTTTTAAGCATATAAATGCATATACTGGTTGACTTTGAATTTCCTTATTGTATAAAAATGATATATATTTAAATAAATGTATTTTTAATAAACTCGTTGTTGCCATGTCTGTCCTAGATTTAAAAAAATGACATATCATTGAGTAGGTATCATTCATATCCATGCTTCTTAACCAACCTATTAGACCATAAAAATTGATGCGTTTCCCTTTTCAGCTTGTGGCGAGTGTTTAGACATGTGTGGCTTAATTCCCATTTAAAAACTTTACCTTCTTGTGGTGTTTTCCTTTCCATATGGATATATAGAGATATTTGTTGTTTGAATCATCCCAGAAGATAAGGAGATAGAAAGAGATTTTGTAGACAACACCCCGTTCTTCTCTAAATTCCAGCACAAACTATCAGGCGAATCAGTGAGATTGATTTGAGGGTATTTTATTATTTACCTGTGTATAGCTTCGATGTGGAGCCTGATTGAATGGAGATTATACCATTTCCCAATTTTCTGAGAT